ACTGGCGCCCGCCCGGGCGCAAGGCGGCATGTAGCTGTGCGCTCCCGCGCCCGCGCGAGGGTTTCGGCCCGGGGCCCCGCCATGGCTGGGAAGGACAGTGGGAACCTGAAGACGGTGAGGCTGTGGCGGGACGCCGCCCTGCGCGCCAGGAAGCTGCGGAGCAACCTGCGCCAGCTCACCCTCAGTGCGGCCGGGGGCTGCCCTGGGACCGGGGCCGACCAGATCGACTCCCCTGACGCCCCCCAGCTTGTGCTGCCGGCCAACATCGGGGACATTGAGGTGCTGAACCTGGGGAACAACGGCCTGGAGGAGGTGCCGGACGGGCTGGGGTCGGCGCTGGGCAGCCTGCGCGTCCTGGTTCTCCGCAGGAACCGCTTTGCCTGGCTGCCCCCGGCAGTGGCAAAGTTGGGCCACCACCTCACCGAGCTGGACGTGAGCCACAACAGGCTGACTGCCCTGGGCGCAGAGGTGGTGAGCGCCCTGCGCGAGCTGCGCAAGCTCAACCTCAGCCACAACCAGCTACCTTCTCTGCCCGCCCAGCTGGGCGCTCTCGCCCACCTGGAGGAGCTGGATGTCAGTTTTAACCGGCTGGTGCACCTGCCAGACTCCCTGTCCTGCCTCTACCGTCTGCGCACCCTCGACGTGGACCACAACCAGCTCACTGCTTTTCCTCGGCAGCTGCTGCAGCTGGCGGCCCTGGAGGAGCTGGACGTGTCCAGCAACCGGCTACGGGGCCTACCTGAGGATATCAGTGCCCTCCGTGCCCTTAAGATCCTCTGGCTGAGTGGGGCCGAGCTTGGCACCTTGCCGGATGGCTTCTGTGAGCTTGCCAGCCTGGAGAGCCTCATGTTAGACAACAACGGGCTGCAGGCTCTGCCTGCCCAGTTCAGTTGTCTGCAGCGGCTCAAAATGCTCAACCTGTCCTCCAACCTCTTTGAGGAGTTCCCAGCTGCGCTGCTGCCCCTGGCTGGTCTGGAGGAGCTCTACCTTAGTCGCAACCAACTCACCTCAGTGCCGTCTCTGATCTCGGGCCTGGGCCGGCTCCTTACCTTGTGGCTGGATAATAACCGGATCCGCTACCTGCCGGACTCCATTGTGGAGCTGACAGGCCTGGAGGAGCTAGTGCTACAAGGGAACCAGATCGCTGTGCTGCCAGACAACTTTGGCCAGCTCTCCCGGGTGGGCCTGTGGAAGATCAAGGACAACCCACTGATCCAGCCCCCTTACGAGGTCTGCATGAAGGGGATTCCGTACATCGCAGCCTACCAGAAGGAGCTGGCCCATTCCCAGCCAGCGGTGCAGCCCCGCCTCAAGCTGCTCCTGTTGGGTCATAAGGCTGCAGGAAAGACCTTGCTCCGTCACTGCCTCACTGAGGACAGAGTGGAAGGACAGGAAGGAAGGGATAAGGAGATGAGCTACCCACCTTCACCTCCACCCGTGAGCAAAGGCATCGAGGTGACCAGCTGGACAGCTGATGCTTCCCGAGGCTTGCGATTCATCGTGTATGACTTAGCTGGAGATGAAAGTTACGAGGTGATCCAGCCCTTCTTTCTCTCCCCAGGGGCCCTTTATGTGCTGGTGGTGAACTTGGCCACCTATGAGCCACTGCGCTTTCCCACCACAGTGGGCTCCTTCTTGCATCGGGTAGGGGCCCGGGTGCCTCACGCTGTAGTTTGTATTGTGGGCACGCACGCAGACCTGTGTGGGGAGCGGGAGCTGGAGGAGAAGTGTCTGGACATTCACCGCCAGATCGCCCTGCAGGAGAAGCACGATGCTGAGGGGCTCAGCCGTCTGGCCCAGGTGGTGGATGAGGCACTGGCCCGGGACTTCGAGCTTCGCTCTGCCAGCCCCCATACAGCCTACTATGGTGTTTCGGACAAGAACCTGCGGCGGCGCAAGGCCCATTTTCAGTACTTGCTCAACCACCGGCTGCAGATCCTCTCCCCCGTGTTGCCTGTGAGCTGCAGGGACCCTAGGCAATTACAACGCCTTCGGGACAAGCTGTTCTCCGTAGCTGAGCACCGGGAAATCTTCCCCAACTTACACAGAGTGCTGCCTCGGTCCTGGCAGGTGCTTGAGGAACTGCATTTCCAGCCACCTCAGGCCCAACGGCTTTGGCTAAGCTGGTGGGACTCGGCCCGCCTGGGTCTGCAGGCAGGTCTGACCGAGGACCGGCTGCAGAGCGCCCTGTCCTACCTGCACGAGAGCGGCAAGCTACTCTACTTCGAGGACAGCCCAGCCCTCAAGGAGCACGTATTCCACAACCTCACGCGCCTCATTGACATCCTCAATGTCTTTTTCCAGAAGGATCCTTCCTTGTTGCTGCATAAGTTGCTCCTAGGAACCAGTGGAGAGGGAGAGGGCGAGGGGGAAAGCTCCCTTGTGATGTCACTGCCCACCCCGAGCCAGGACTTGCTTCCCGCCACCCAGCTCCATCATTACGTGGAGGGCTTTCTGCTTCATGGGCTCTTGCCCGCCCATGTTATTCGGCTGCTGCTTAAGCCTCATGTCCAGGCCCAGCAAGACTTGCAGCTGCTGCTGGAGCTGCTGGAAAAGATGGGACTCTGCTACTGCCTCAATAAACCTAAGGGCAAGCCTTTGAATGGGTCCACAGCCTGGTACAAATTCCCATGCTATGTGCAGAACGAGGTGCCTCATGCAGAGGCCTGGATTAATGGGACCAACCTGAGCGGGCAGTCTTTTGTGGCTGAACAGTTGCAGATTGAATATAGTTTTCCCTTCACCTTTCCACCTGGGTTGTTTGCTCGCTACAGCGTACAGATCAACAGCCATGTGGTGCACCGGTCAGATGGGAAACTTCAGATCTTTGCATATAGAGGGAAAGTTCCTGTGGTGGTGAGTTACAGACCTGCCAAAGGGGTCCTGCAGCCAGATACTCTGTCCATTGCCAGCCATGCATCATTACCAAATATATGGACAGCATGGCAAGCCATAACCCCCTTGGTAGAGGAACTGAATGTTCTACTTCAAGAATGGCCTGGACTGCACTACACCGTGCACATTCTCTGTTCTAAGTGCCTTAAGAGAGGGTCGCCCAATCCACACGCTTTCCCAGGTAGGTGGAGAGAGGCACGTGGCTCTTCTTTGATGTGTTATTAAGATGCATTTTTTGAAAATGTTTTTTTTTTCCATTCATAAGATTATTAGCTTAACACCGGGAAAGCTTCTCAAGGTAAATACGGGGGGATTTGGGGACAAGCAAAAGGCAGTCAATACATAAGTAATATGAAATACAGTCCTCAGTATCATACTCTCCTACAAAAAAGACTCAGACTTCCAAAATGGGTTCCAGTCAAAACATTTGGATCTCCTTTTCTCTCTTCTAAATTTAGTCCACCTTTCATGGAAGGAAATTTCGGGTGTGTGAACAGAAGATGGTGTCTGAAGTGTCTCTTGCTGAGCCTGCATATTGGATGCATCTCGAAGGGCTTGAGATGCTCAGAGTTTGACATGTCTATTGTCATATTCTTGTGTTTAAATTCAGAGTACAGCCATAAAGAGTATTGCTTACTTTTCTTAAGAAATTCCAGAGAAGAATATTTTGTAATCGGGATTGGATTTTAAAGACAATGATACTTATGATGGATTAGTAAAGACAAAACTTTCAGTCTGTGATGCATGACTGAATCCTGAGTTTGCTGTTTTACTCATCACGCCCATGGGCATGAACCATAGACTGCTGAGATCTCTGAGGGGAGTTTCCTTGGGTACTTTCCGGCAATTTGGTGCTTTACAAGATGTCTTAAGGTTTGATTTTTGGTGTTAGACTGGAGCGTTTTGGAAGTACTTTGTAAGAGATGGGAGGGACAAAACATTGGAAGCATTTTTTTTTTTCTCTTTTGGGGAGTGTTTTACAACAGATTCTTTTTTTCTTTCTTTTTACTTTTTAAAATCATTGTAGGTGAGTGGCAGAATTCTAGGACTAGTTGTCTGGGACTTTTTGAGTCCGGTTAATTGGTACCCTGAGTCTTCAGTTTGGAATATGTCTATTTCCCACATGTGAAAGCACTCTTTGGAGCAGTTCTTTAAAACTACTCAGATATTTGTGGAGCAGGCTTGGCTAACAACATTCCAAGTGTCCTAAGGACAAACCTAATGATAGCATCACTGCCGATTTTTCTCCTCGGTCCCCCACCCCCCAGGGCACATTGAGGGGTGATGAAATGAAGACTGCATGCCACTCTGATCTTTGTCCCAGTCTGAATGCAGCTTGTCATAGTATCTGGAAGAAACTGGACACCCATATTTCCGAAGGTAACATCTTCCTGTTGCCCTAGATCTAGGCTGAGTTTAATTCTTCAGCTTGAAAAAAGCCACCATATTCCGTTACCAGTCAACCGAGCCATCTATTCTGTATGATTATCTGGTATCTTGTCACAGTCCAAGTGAGATCTGGTAGGCTCTTCAGTTCGTTTTATATTTGCCATTGTATTTTCTTCATGAAAGCAGATACTTCTTTATTGTGCTACTACATTGAATAAAGTGGTTGAGAGTTACATATTCACAGAGTAGCTGATCGAAGGAGCTACTTAAAGCCAATTTCTAATCCAGATGGAGCATTAATAAAACTGATGTTATTAACAACAAAGGGAAAGACATAGCTATGTTACCGAACAAGTAAAGATCTGTGCAGAGGAATTCAAACAACGTTGAGGAGTAAACAATGAGGCTGGAATTCTTTTTTCCTAACCTCAGCTCTTATTTTTTTTACCAGTCAGAATTTCCCAAACAAGCCCATTCTCTTGTCATTGTTTGGCCTATTTGCCTGTCGAAGGAAGCACACCTGCTTTGCAGTCCAGGCTCTGAGGAAGAGATGATTTTTTTTTTTCCAACATAAAAACAAATAAATGGTTAAAAATGGTAGAATTATCATATATATTGGATAAGAATAAATCATCAGGTGTTTTGGTAATATAGACTACATTTCTGTCTTATTCGTGGTCAAAGAACGAAGTTCTCTTTTTGCTTTGTTGAGGATTGTATTCTAAAGGTAGCTGAGGGCACAAAAGTAGTGGAAAAGATGATTGTAGTAATTCATTACATTAAGACAACGGAAAAAAAACCTGTTTTCCTCTTTCATATTTTTCTGTGGTAGCCATCATCTGTCAGTATTTGCCACGTTTCTGAAAGATTTAGGAAGAGCTAAAATAATTTTAAAAACTAGCAGGTGTTGTAGGAGCAGAATTATAATGTTTGGTGTTCGTTTAGTTAGGGCAAACATTTAAAAATACATTCATTGAGTCCCGAAATTGTTAAAATGTGTTTTAACTTGGCATACATCTTTGAATCTATTTTTAAGTAGTCATTTTGCTTTTCAGAAACATTTAAAAAAGTCGGTTACTTAGTTTTTCATTTTATTAAAGTGTCAAGTTCCTCTGTAAACTAACAATTTTGATACAATGTGAAAAAACTGGAATCAATTTTTTTTTCAGTTTTGGGACATTAAGAGTAAATACAAATTACCGTCTCCCTAGATTTTATGCAAAAGAAATGTAAAGTTCTATTAATATTTTTAAACCTTATTTTGTAAAAAGTCTGTTTTGGCCTGTCATTGTCAATAGGACACATTTTCTAACCTGAGCTGTACTAAGGTAGTTGGCCCAGGGAAGCAGAGTGCCAGATTTCTCTTTTTTGATTTTGATTTTTGAAAGAAATACCATATTTTGGAAAATCCTCAGCCAACGACCACTTGGTTTTTACAGTTCTTGTTTAAAAAAAAATCTAATCACATTTTCAGGAAGATTCCCGATTTGTCTCATTTAAGTCGCATTCTCAGGGAGATTCCCGATTTGTCTCATTTAAGACGAAGGGTTGAGTGACAGGAGATGCTTTTGGTATTCAAAGGAAGCCTGCGATGGAGCCTAAGTATCAGATGTGTGAATCTTCACCTCCTTTCTGTAGATACTGACAGTACTGCCAGCTTCTTCTGACAGACAGGCTTCTCTCCACGTTACTTATAGAGATGTTCTAGAGTAAGTTTCTTCTTCTGTGATATTTATTATGTTTTTCTTCTTTTCTTAGAAGTTCAATATGACTTCTAAACCAGCAAAGCTCAACACTCCTGAGGCTGGATGTGTGGTATATTGAGTAAAACAGGTGGCTAGGACATAGATAGGCCTGCAGCAAGATTCTACGGCTTTGCAATTTTGTTTAAGCTGTTGAATGAATACGGTGTGTTTAAATTGGAAGAATGCATCTTAGAGAATTGAACTTGAGTTCAATGTAATTTTTCACTAAATATTCTACTCCCCAAATTATTAAAGGTCATTTTTAAGAATAATTGGAAAGCAACCCAAAGCAGTAGACAGGGAACGTCGTGATCTTTGTATCTTGTATCTTTTATTCACTAATTAACTCAATGCCTTTCCACATCTCCTGTCAAGTGCCTTTTGCCCATGTTCAATTTCTTACATACTGTGTACCTCTCTGAGACACTCGGCACATTTTGTCTTGTTCTGCTGGTATTTATGCATGTCATAATATCTCTTTGATTAGGTTGTTAACTTGCTTACACAGAGCAGGACACACATCTGAGGCTTTGTGGCTTCCATGAGTCTCTCAGATGTTTGCTGAATGATTGTTTGGTCTTTGTAAGAAATGTCTTTTTTCTTTGTTATTCACATATTCTGTCAAATTCCCAAATGGTACTGTAGTAATCATATTGCTTTGTCCTGTGTCCCAGCTTCCTTCCCCCACACCCCAAATGTCCCTCTAAGGTTCGCATTGTCACTGTGTTATTAGTCTTACCCTTGAATGGACCCTTCATTTTGACCACTGAAGCAAAGCAAAATTCTTGCCTTATTAAATCTCAGCTTTAGAGTGACTGGAATTTGAGCATGACCTAGTTGTTTGGATTGAATTAGTCACTGTTTTTAATTTCACAAAGGTTATTAAATATCTCTTTAGTTTAGCTTTATTAATATTGATGCCTCTTGGCTTTTATTTTTGTGAACAGTCCTCTTTGAACTCCTCTGGGCTTTGTTTCATATAAAAATCAAAACCTTAATCATGCAGTGGGAGAAAGAAATACTGTGCATGATAAAATTCAAAGCCTAGAAAGGCCTTTGGAGGATAAATTATATTAAATATTAGGTGCCTCTTCTTTAAACTTTAGAGTAGAATCTCAAGTTCATCCCCGCACAAGTAGCTTAGAATTTCCTAGAGAAAATATTTTTATTTTATTTGTCAGCAGACGTTTTATGTCATTCTCTGCTGCCTGCTCTTCTTACTCTCCAGCAAACCTTGCTTATTTTAGTTCTTGCTCATTTACTTCATTTTAACACCTAAAACATTTATAGTATGTACTTCATAGGGTTGTTTGGAGGATTAGGTGAGAGAATGTATTGAGAAAAACAGTTATCTTTGCCTGTAAAGAAGTGTGGGGCTTTTTCATTATATGGAGATGAGGGATGGGGGCTGATGTTGGAGTGAACACTTCTGGTTGTTGTCTCCATCCATCTATTAACTTGCTTCTCTCTGTGAGAGCCTATTATGATTAAGGACCGGACAATCCATCCATTATGGTGCCTAAAAAAAAAAAACAAAAAAACCGGGAGACAGGTGCCATCCTCATCTCCTGCCCTCCCTTGTCTCCTTCAGCTTTGGCACTCTTCTGTCTGTGGGTGGAGAAGAGAGTTGCTTTGTGTTTCTAGGCTCTGTGGAGAGCACACCAGGTGAGGTCTGCTTGGGGCAGGTCTCTGTTCTCCTTTCAGTTGCTCTGATTGCAAAACCAGCTGCTGAGTGGTTGTCAGCTTTGCCTTCCTTTGGGACCCGGCTATCTTCAGTTCAGAAGATGAGGAGGCGCCATTTTGGCTAGCATTCCCAATCCTACTATCTCATTAATGAAACTGACCCTCTGAGCCTCTTGGCTCCTCATGTCTGTGCAACCTGTAGAATCCAGAGTGATTGACAGGCATCTCACAGTCACAGTATACATATGATGTCATATCTTTGTTAAACCATAGAGACCGTCTCTTATGTAAGATATGGCAGTATTACTCTGTTGTTATAAACTCTCTTCTCTGAGTTCTGAGGTTCATGCGATGGCAGGACACT